TCAAAACTACCCTAAAATTTTAAGACTTTTGTGGGACATATAATTCGATTTTTTTTAATAGCTTTTATTCAGAAATATAGCACTATTCGTATGCAATTAGACTTTGTTGGGATTTCAAAACCACTGTGCTCCATTTGGGCCCCCTCAACACTACCGCCCATGGGCACCCACCTTCCCCCCATCGCTACGCCTCTGCTACACAGCGATACGATACGAGAATCGTTTGAATACATACACGAGCCACCTGTAAAATATTCTACTGAAATCCTGTCTCTATAAAAATGTAAACATGCAAGGTAAAGCTGCATCGTTGCATTTTTAAGTCATCGTACAAAGAGGGTAGAAATGTTTGACCCTTTTTCTCCTATATTTTTCGTTCCTTGGTCAGACCTACCATGTATCAGGCTGTGCCAAAAATTTCTTTCGTTTCATTAGCAATTTATGTTACATTACTAAGTTGCGTGCAATACAATAGTGCGTTTACGCTATTTGCACTAATCCAGGTACGAAGATTGCGCGAACCAACAAATTTGGCTCGAGTGAAATCTGTCCTGACAGAAAATCTCACAATCTACAATCTCAGACATTCGTCCGGATTTTCCATTTCGGACGCAACAAACTACGATTCTCGGGGTTCCTCGTCTCACAATTATGCAAATTGTACTAACGCCTGAACGGCAATATCTCATTCAGTTCATTTGCACAAATTGGCTTGTCTATTTATAAGAAACACTGTCACACAGCTGAATGCGAGTCGCGAAAGAAACTTTTGAGACAGTCAAAAAATAACCCACACCACTGCTCTCGTATTTTGCACTAATAGATAACAACAACAAAGAAATCGAAGTGACGCGATGTCGGCGGACGTTGGACGACTCTTCCCTCCTGTGTTGCAAGGGCGATTAGCGGAAGTTACACCGTGCGCCACGTACGAGTTTCGACGAGACTGTACGTGACTTCTATGCTTGAAATATTTGCCTGGTTTCCGTACTCTAAATTCCTGATAACGGCCGACGTCGCGATTATAGTTGGAAAAGAGAGTATGCTCTTCCACGGTTACAGGAGCATATAACTTCGAGGTAACGTCGTGATCCTAACTCACGTGCTCGTGCTAGGATATTCTTGCAATATTCCACGCGATACGGTTATTAAACTCTTTCCTTGGAACTTTGTCCGAACGTAATACAGGGCCACTTGACGAGACAACAAAAGATAAAAAGGGTGGAAGAGAGGGTGGGAGGAGGAGGTGAAAGAAGAAACGATTACGATTCCGCGGGTCGTTTCAGACTTTTTCCTCGATCGTTTGGGAGGAAGTATGAGTGCATAGGTTCGCGTAATCGCGAAGAAATCCAATTGTAAGCGAGGCAATGTTCTCTTCGCGGGGCTCGACTCGTTATGGCGTTTAGAAAGCTTCCAACAGACCAGTCTCCCGAGGCCACCCGTACCGTTTCGATACTTACAGAGATAAATTCTTATACAAGTAATCGAGTACTCTCATCATTTTACTCTAATAAAATTTTTGCAAAAGTTCGTTCACCAGTATTCGCGAATGCTGAAAAGATTTATCATCCGCGGTCTCTTCTTATTACACGCTCCTCCGCGCCTAAATATGCCACCGTAATGTAATGAAATATTTACTCGTGGCCGATGGATATTTCTGAGTGGATTTTCTGCCCCCGAAGACTGGCCTGGAAATCAGGAAGCGCGCAAACCGGCGCGTCCCAGGCATGCCAAATAGCCGAACGCATTAGGTCAGCGACGGAAGATGTTCTGTCCGGATAAAAATTACGAGCAACGACTCGGCAACCTCGTCTTCCTCGTTACGCGTTCTTACGAAATGGAAATCGGCGCGATGGCAACATGCAAATTGGCCTAAATGAGTTTGGCACGTCTGGCGCGCGAATGTTATTCGTTAACGGACGCGAAACTCACGGTTCTGTTGCCCAGATTCCTGACGCGACACAACAGCACAACGGTTTGTCCCACGATCGCGGTCACCTTTTGGGACGTGTCTTTGAAAAAATATGTCCTCTTCGTCCCGCGATGCGAGCGTTGCTCCGGTTTCTCGGGCTTCTCGTCGTCGAGCTGTTGCACCGCTAAAATTCAGGCATCACACGCTTCAACGAACCATCTGGGATGATTACTTTCACGAGCTCCTCGCGTGCCCGTCGCGTTTCTTAACGAAACTGCCCATGGCGGTTTACGAACCGCGACAGATTCGCGGAATGACCACCGAAACGAACAACGCGCTTTCGGCGAATTAGGAGAAATGGGCGGCGAGTAGGGCCAGGAATTTCTTGAACTTTACCCTTCCTTGGACCGTCGAACATTCGAGCAAATACATATATCGAGCAATACTCGTGTTTCTAGACACTCGACATTCGTTAACCACTCGAAGGACAATTCTTTCTAGACAGAGATAGATATTTAGGAATTTTTAAGGGTTGTACTAAACCCGTAGAGTGAATATTTCTTACATATGGTGAAAGTGCACACTTTGAACTCTATCTCTGTTAATTTAAAAAATATGCTAGTCCTCCTGACGGGACACTAAAATTTTCAACTCGTGTGCGGGGTTCCCTAGTAATGAGAATAAAATAAAACGATGATTTTATAGTGGTTCCTGGGAAAAGCTCGACGCGATTAGCGCGGGATAACGTTTTCGACCTCGTTGTAGGTCCTCCTCGGTGAAATTCCGATAAACAAACAATTTGAAACCAATTCGAAAATGTTACATGTATTTATTATCCTTCAAATTAGCTTTTTTATACTGTTTGTTTAGCTGTCATGAAAAATTTACTGGAGAGGGCCCGCAACGAGTGTTAAAACGTTCTCGTTAATAAGTGCCGAATGGCTAGATATACGAGATGTTTTATTGGCCCGACCTCGTCGGTTAACTCTGTTAGTTTCGTTAACTCCTTCGCGCTCGGCGTATCGGTTTTAATAAGTACACGCCATTTTCAAATAATTCAGGTGTATTGACCGTGTGGTCTCCCTTTATGGATTATTCTTCAAAGTTGATACTTGACCCGCCATTTCTAATGGAAAATGCAACATTCCCCTCTCCATTATATTCTATACTTATTTGTTTCAATGTGAGTTCAAAAATAGAAAAAAAGAACTGATCACAACCCTTCGTGGTCTATATGTCTATCGAAGAAATTATCTAAAATTAAACGATAGATTCGATGTTTCCAAATAAATGCTTCGTTATAAATACGTGCCTGAATAAGCTGTACACGTGTATACATTTATAATGAAAAATTCATTTGGAACCTATCATTCTATCCGGGCAAATTTCTTCAATAGAGGGTACGAGTACTTTTAGAACTGTATGTCTTTGGCCTCTGTTCGTCAGAAATTCGAAAATTTTAGCGAAGTTACACGGAGCGTCGATCCATTAGATTTTCCAGCAAAATTAATAAGCGGATAGAGAGATATCGGCACAGAGGAGTGGCATGTTTTGTTTTACGACGTACGGTAGCGTTGGGAGGCGAAGTGGGTTCAACGAGGATCAGCCAACAGGAATGCATCCGGCTAATAGGTCGAGAATTGTCTCGAACGCGTTGTATTGCTCGCGAAAGGGTTCGTTCGTTCGTTATTTGTCGATTTTACTGTTAATCCTCCCAATGCTCTCTTTTATCGCTTCAACTGCCAAGGGAGGAAGCTATACATCTGACATAAACTTTACAAAACTGTACGAACTTTATCTAGATATAACAAATTCGAACTAAAGTACTCCATTAAATGAATCGGTTCCAAAGATTGTTCGAAAGACAGAGGTGACTTGAGAGTGCCAAAGAAAGATAGTTCAGTCCCCCCAGAAATGACCTCGTAGTGCAAAGGTTTGACTGATACCCCAAAGGTAAGGTTCCTTAAATAAAAAAAGGGACGAAACGAAAAGAAATAATCCCGATCGTTACGACGATACACTTTGAGAGTAGTTCTACCTAGGTTCCGGTAACCGGACGGCGGTTCGGCGTGTAACAGGTACCCGATTCCAAGCAGTATAAGGGCCATGCCGTGGAACGGTGCCATTTTTTTTACGTACGAGACTCTTTCATCTTTATTCGTTGTTTCTTCTGTTTCTCCGATACTCCCGTAGCCCTCCGAAATCTATCGGTAACTGGACGATCATCCCTCGACGATTACCTCCGTTCCACGTTCCTCGTTCTCCGTCCCCCGACGAATTCCTTCCCGATACTCGTGTAACCGATCCTCTCCGACGTTGACAAACCAATCGATCTTGCACCCACGACGTTCAAACGCTTACGTTTGAAAGCGATATTATACATTTCTCGCCTGGCCCGTGACAACGATCCCGATCGTCGATACAACGAAATCCTCGATCGAAGCAATGAGACTCGTCGTTTGGTTCATCGCGTTCAACGAGTGTTCATTTTTCAATGGACAAAAAGAAAAATATACGGGTTGTGTGCATTTGGACAACGTTCGTTGAAACGATGCGTTTGTTATATCCTCGAACGTGAATAATAACAGACAGATGAAACGGTTTATCGGTTTCTTCTTTGTTCGGAAATTGGGCGCGAAGTGTCGTCTCGTGGCTTTCGACGTTTCAACGCTACGATCGTTGAAACTACGGCGAGGGGAACAGCTTTCGAGAACAGCGCGCTTCGACAGCGTTCGTAATACTGAAAGCTGCTCCTGTCCGTGAGGAAACGAAAAAGCTGAAATCAGGGTGCAGTGGCGCCTCGCGATGCGCCCTGATAGTTGCGATTGCGCCGACAGCAGGGTGTTCTTATCGCCCCCTTATCCCGACTTGGTCGTTCATCGTCCCGCAATTTTACCAATATCTCGGTTTCACTTTATCGGAAGGACCGATCCTTATTGCATCGTTGTCGCGTTAAACTTCATCGGGACAACCGACAAACTTAGCGACGACGAACTCTGTCCAGACCACCGATCGAAGGAGAGTATCTACACAAGTTTCCAGTCTATATTGGTATTATGTCACGGGTTTATAAATAATATATTATACGGAATCTTGATAATTTATTCAACAACCCAACCATACATATCGATTACCGTTTGGTATATAAATTGTCCAACATTATCGTAAAATGATTGTATATATATATGTATAAAAAAATAAACTTTATATAATTCTAGGAATATAAACTACATTACCGAATCAACAGAAATATATGTATGTTGAATAAACGGTACGAGTCGAAGTTCCATATTTTTCGTATCCATCCAGGTACGTGATATATAAATACGTAACACACACGCGGTGTGCACCGTTACCTTTTATCAACACCCACGCAACGCGATCAAATTTGTACGTTACAACAATTGAGCGTTCAATAGTAGAATGTACAAAAGCACCGGATGTTGAATAATAATCACATTGAGTAGTCTAAGTACCAAGATACCTCAACTATATTCCACAACGTGCCAGTGTCGGGCAACTCTTGGCAAACAGATTCGCGAACCACAGTTTGATACAAACTGAATTAGGCAACCCAACTTTAGTACACCGCGGTACATCCAATAAACCGATGTATTAATACTGGAATCTATACTCAATTAATTCCTAAGGAAATCACCCTTTGTACCACCGGTTTTCGATACTAACTCTACGTTACTTATCTTCATCGAGGCCGGGGAGGCCGCGTATTTGCACATGTCGTAAACTGTTAACGCCGCGATAGTCACGGCTGTTAAAGCTTCCATTTCTACACCAGTCTTTCCGGTGCATCTAACTTCCGCTGTGATCTCTACTCGATCCAGCTCTTCGTTTAAATGCAGATGCACGTTTGCGTAAGATATGGAGAGCGGATGACACAACGGTATCAAATCAGGAGTACGTTTGGCACCCATAATGCCCGCCAATTGCGCCACGGACAGCACGTCCCCTTTCTTTATATTATTTTCGGCTATTAATTTGCTTACAATCTTATCGACCTGGACATAACCTCTTGCTATCGCGACACGCTTAGTTTCGGCTTTCGAACCCACGTCTACCATGCTTGCTTTACCACTTTCGTCCACGTGAGACAGAGAGGAAAACATTCTCACGTTCGCATAACCCTTAAACGGAAGAACCGAGCGTGCCAGATATTCGTGCCGCGCATCCCTTCGCCTATCTTTATGACTTCTGACGTGCATGCGTCTCTTTTCAACTGTAAACACAACCATTGACGACAATGTTATATTTTTTCCTCGGATAATAAAGCAAATGCGATTATCAAAATAATGAGTTTCGTTAATTAGAAACGAATATAGATCGAGCGATAACGTTTGTACGTGTACTATCAAAATATCAATGTTTTGTCCTAACTCGAAATTCTCGTAACAATCGACTATCCCCCGATCAGTATCATCGGCCTGTTTTCCATCTGGGATAGATTGAACATTCCTGAAACACACATGTTATAGAGGACATAGAAACGTTATCGCTTCAAATGTAGCCTGCAAGATAATCATTTTAGATCTGTATCTATGAACCAGAGATAATACGTACCCGCGTGTTGCTTCTTTTTACGTCGCACAGCAGTACCGATCATTTCTTTCAAAACATCCTCGGACACGCCGCTGCGTAAAGCATCTCGAAGGGACACTTCTCCTTTTCCCTCGAACAAACAGACCTTCAAATTTCCATCTGCTGTTATTCGTAACCGATTGCACGAACTACAGAAATGTTCGCTCATCGACGTAATAAATCCGATTTGCCCCGTAAATCCAGGAACGTGGTATGCCTAATCGAAAGAGATATTGTCCTTTTAATAACATGTATAGTTATGACAAATTATAAATTATATTTTATGTTAGCTTTTTAAGTTCTACACACCTTGGACGTATCGTTATACTCGTTCGGAAGACGTTGGAGATCAGGATAAGTTTCTCTAATCAATTTTTTCATAGAATCGAAAGAGACCATTTTATTCTCGTTCCACTTGTTCCCTTGAAAAGGCATGTATTCGATAAAACGTACGTCGATTGGAGAATCTTTTGTTAAGTTCACAAAATCGATTAACTCGTCGTCGTTAAAACCTTTCATTATCACACAGTTTACCTAAAATATATCAATCATTTACATCCATAGATTAAACCGACAGAATTTTCAGTATCTCCTCACCTTTGTAGGATTGTAGCCTAATTGGACAGCCAAGTCTATGGCTGCTATAACTCTAGACCAACCCTTTCTACGAGTGAAATGTTCGAAACGACTTTCTTTCAATGTATCTAGCGAAATATTTATCGCATCTAATCCTGCTCTTTGAAGGGCTGGTAACTGACGCGATAATGTTAAGCCATTGGTAGTAATGGCAACTTCTTTTAAACCAGGCAATTGTTTCAAACCAGCTGTAACAATTATTTCTATTATATCAATGATTTCAAGGGTAAATCATACAGGCATTAGAAATAAAATTACTTACCAATAATATCAACAATGTCTTTGCGAACAGTTGGCTCACCACCTGTTAAACGTATTTTATGCACACCCTCTTTTACAAACAAATCAGCTATTTTAAGTATTTCATCTATTCTTAAAATACCATCATTTTTAGTCAACTTAACTCCTTCTGCTGGCATACAGTACAAACCTAGAAGAACCATGATATTTCAGAAAACTATTCTATCTAAAATTTTGAATAGAACTACTTACATCGAAGATTACATCGTTCTGTAATTGAAATTCGTAAATAAGTATGATGACGCCCAAAGGAGTCTGTGAGTATGTCATTGTCACTGTTTTTATTTAATAATTCCCTGAATCTCTGTACCTACAACAAATAATACCAAATATCCATAATGTATTTGAGTAATCTTTATTTTATTAGCAATTTATTATTAGTACTCTACATAATGTCATTATACATTTCCATTTATTGTAAAATAATAATTGTAGAATAATAAATTCTAATATTAACACATGTATGATAACTATACTAATTCAATATGAATTTAGAAAAAAAAATAATTGATCTATCCTCTTACTCTGGATGATGCATTTGATGCAATGGATGCTTCCGTAGATGAATGCACAGCACCGAAGATCGCTTTAATAACATCTTTCTTGCGAAACATTTAAATAACACGTAGTAAATAGTAAATACTGTAACTTATAATAACCTCTACGTATAATAGGAAATGTTTCGTTTCTAATTAAAAAACAGACAACAAATTTATAAATTTAAGTTTTTCCAAGATGGGCGCCGTTGAGTGCTGTCTATTTGAAGGTATTATTACAACTGTATTATGCGATAGAGCTGCATACTCATTCTATGAGCAACGAAGATTACTCGCCTCTCCATGTCCTTGAATTTGACATAACCATCATTAAGATAGCTCTTATCAATCTTGCGACTTACACATATGATTCGAATTATAATCCTTTATCAGTTCATTTTGACCAATCATCAAAGGTCATTTTCTACATTGTGCAAATTTGGTGGAATAAAGAGAATTATCACTACAAAGCTGACAACGTTCAATTGATGTATTGTTTACATGCATTTTTTTGCACGTAAATGCACATAACCTCAAAAGAAGATGAATACAACTTATTTATTATTCTAATAATATAATATAAGAAAACATGTCTTTGTTTCCTGCTTATTCTGGTGAAAGGGACGAATCACCAGAGCCCAATAAACTTGGTAATCTCTTAAAAAAGAATATAATCAAATATTGCTTGTTAGAAACATTATCAAGCATACTATAATTGCAATGAAATTATTTTTAAATCGTAGGAGATGACGCCAGTTGGTTACACAATGTTAGTTGCCTAGAACGTATTTCATCCAACAATATTGCCAATATCTCTTCAGATTCTTCTGATGAAACTGCAAGTGAAATTTTTCATTCAGATAAACAACAAATATCCCATAGTTCTACTTCTTTAAGCAATGAAAACCGTACATCAAAAGAAAAAGAAACATTAAAACATATCAAAAAGAGAAAGCGGGAGAAAAGAAAACATACACGTGAAAAAGTAAAGAAACCAGAGTATAAAAGAGATGTGGAGAATGTGTATTTCGAGGATAAATATAGGGATAAGGGAAATAGTACTGTAAACACACTCTGTTCTAGAGTAAGACCTTATTATGATATTCAAAAGAATTCTCTTGGTTGTGTTCCATGCAAGCAACCAAGGAAAGATATATATGAAAGATATTACATTAGAAATATTGATTGTGTAGAGAAGACTAAAAAGAAAGATAATATTATTAAAAGGGATTCTACTACAGATTCATTGAAAGAAGAAGAGCCTACTCCTTCATGGTGTACTAATTTAGAAGAATTGCAGAAAAATAAAATTAAAGAATACAATGAAAAATTAACAGATGATCCAAATAACATTAATATGTGGTTTGAATATATTGAATTTCAGGTATATTACTAAAGATAGGCAAAAGTTTATTCTAATAATAGATTTATTTTTACTTTTATTTATTTAAATAACAATTCTTTTGGATACAAACTTTGCCCATCTCTTTATCAATTCATCTGTTAAGAGTTATTAATAGCTCTTAAAGAAATGACATTTTGCAGGACACATTAGGATACTTTCAAAAATATCAAACAGTAAAAGATGTTCAACGAGCAACAACATTAAAAAAGTTATCTATAATTGAAAAAGCTATAGAAAAAAATTCAGACTCTATAGAATTATTAAAACTAAAATTATCTCTAATGGGAGAGCTCCTACCAGCTGATGAATTTTCAAAACAACTCGAAACATTAGTTAACAAAGACTCAGGGAACACAGTTTTATGGCAACAATTTATTATGATTACACAAGCTTCTGTAGCAATGTGTACTGTGCCAAAAGTTTTGAATCTATATTCGAAATGTTTTTGTATTTTGAAACAAAAAGCTCGAACGAATCCTCGTATATTTGACGAACGATTATTACGTACGTAAAATATTATAAATTGTTTCGATCTCTTAGATTGAATCAAATGGATATAATTAAATTTTTTCGAACAGAGATGCTCTACTGGTGCTTAACATTTCTGAGGCATACTGGGCTTTGGGAACAAATGTGGGAAACAATACGTTTGAATCTTTGTTTGAATCTTAGTTTAAGCAAGGACAGTCTATCATTTCGAAACACAATAGATGAAAAAAAATTAAGTAAGAGGTATTACAATTAATAACAGAGAGAATGTAATTCGTTATTAATATTAATATTATTACTAATTTGTAGTTGGAATGGAAGAGGTAATACTAATATCAAGATTGCCACTTAATCAGCTATGGCAAAGAACAGAATCGTTAAGAGAAAATTGCCATTGGGTCAGTGTCAGTAGAGATGAATTAGAATTAGTTGGTGATTCCCGAAGATTCGTTTTGCCAGATGATGTCGCAGATTTTGTGCATCCTATACTTTCGCGAAATTTCAATTTTCGAATGGCTATACATGCACTCCTTCTACTCAAAGTACCACTACTACCTACTCGAGATTATATATTAAAAGTATGTCTTAAGTATCTGTCATTCAAAAGAGACTATGTTCTCTGTTTCATGTTGCAAATCAATGGCATCATATTTTATATTTGTAGATGTTATCCTTAAAAGACTTTGAATGGGGAATTGAAACTTCAGAAGTATTACTTCCATTTGCCTATCCTGTAGCAGGTGAAATAACAGGTCATAGCCAAAGGAAGGAATTATTAAATGGTATACTCGAAGGGGGTTTAACATCAGGCCCTCAATATCTTATGTTTCATCCTGCGCAAGAGTCGTACTTGGATTTTATACGTGAAATATTTTTTACGATTGCCGAAAATTTACCTACTATACAACGTACAAGTATCTATATTTGGTGGTTAAGATTCGAAAGACTACTTATTTTTCTTCGGAAAGACGACCCTTTAAAATATGATAATAAGTATGATTCCTTTTATTTTATTTTTCATAATCAATAACTTTACATGATATATATATATATATTACATATTTCCTCCAGAGGGAAGAAATTAAAAACGATATTAAAAGAATTCTTGAAAAAAGACGAAAATAGAAATAATTTACATTTCTATAAAGAGTATGCATTGATAGAAAAAGAAATGGGAAGATTTGACAACTGTGTAAATATTCTTGAAACAGCAATACAATCTCAAGGTAGTTGCCCTGCTGCAATTCATGATCTTGATGAAAGGGCAGCACTTCTCAGTTTGTATAGAACGTTTATCGAAACTCTACTCAATTCTGACACATATAAAGAAACGCATAAGGAGCGATTATTAAATGTTATTAAACAAATGATACCTGGAGTAGGTGAAAATCAATTGCAGGTCGTGACAGAATATTTAGAAAATTGTGTGAAAGGTTTTTTACAAGAAGTTCCTACAGAAGATGAAAAGGACACATACTTCTTACCAGATTTAAAGTGTGACACAATTGTATGTTATGCATACCTTTTATATATAAAAGATTGTGATATTGAGAGAGTAATAAGCATATTTACAGACTCCATTAACCATTACAAGGACTCCCATTATATACAGGTACAATATATCACACTTATCTTTAAAACAGGAATTTCATTATACATATGCTATTCCAGGAAATGTTATATGAAAGTCAAATTGCACTTTTACAATTACATTGCAAACAGACTCAGGAAATAAATATTTTAAAGAATGTATTAAATGATATGCTAAAGTTATATCCAAATAACTTATTTGCCCTTTCAATATTGGCATGCATAGAGGTAAAGACCTTTGAAGAAAAAATTACTTAAGGTATATTGTTTTAATTTTAATTGTAATATTTTCCTAACAGAGTGAGTTACCTATTTGGAAATTCAATAGCCAAAAGACAAAACTTGAATTATGGAGAGCATTCGCGATGTGTTTAGCAAGTCGTAGACGTATCCGTTTCTTAAAAGAACAGAATGACTCGGTTAGTATGAATGCAGCAATAAATAAATTATTGCATTTTCATCAGACACTTGCAAGGTATGGATACGACTAATTTTTCTTGATCATTCGTATTTAATGCGTAAATATGAAAAAAATGTTTCGATTTATAGAGTACCGAATACTAGATGTTGTCCACTATTATGGAGATTATACATGCTCCTTCTCAGGGAATACAACTTGTGTGAAAAAAAGGGAGAAGAAGTTTATCATGAAAGTGTCGAGCAATGCCCTTGGGCTAGAAGTATTTATATTGATGCAGCTGAAGTTGCACCTCAAATCCTTACACAAGTTCAAGATGTAATACGAGAAAAAGAATTGAGAATGCATGTTACACCCGAGGAATTGGACATCTTGCGTGGTTGATTTCAGTTATTATTTAAATGGCTGTATAAATAACAAGGGAATATATTAAATAAAAAATATGTCTCAACATTATTTTGTCACGAAATAACCTCAATATTCAACTCATTCTGCGAAATTTAATTTGAAACTAATTGAACGCTTCGATAATAATATTATCCAATCTATGTTGATATTTAACTAATAAAAAAAATTTTTGTTTAAATGGAATGTTATCATTTTATTTAGTTGGAGAATTAATTGTGTACATTTTCTGGCAATAGCATCAATACTTGATGCCTATCTCATTGATATGGTGTATATTGGTTGAAAAGATAAGAAAATAAAATAATGTAACAATACATTATGTTATAAACACTCATAGTCGTTTAAAGTTTATCAAAACGAAATATTTCAAGTTATAAAAACATCTTAGAAGGAATTATTTATTGATTACAAAACTGCATTCAAATTTTCGCGCTCTTTTTCTTCAATCTCATAGCCATCTAGCGGTATAGATGACGTACTAATTTTCAAAGTTTGGTCAGCGCCTCTATCGGGAAAACGGTAAGTTTGTCGCCCAATAGTTCCTACATGCACTGCTAGATGACGCCATTTGTTCAATTATCGACATGTCGGTAAATTGATGGAACAAATGGCGCCATCTAACGGTGCCTGTAGGAACTATTCGGCGATAGCTTGAGAGTTTTCTCCCTAGATGGCGCCATTTGTTCCAGCAATTTACCGACATGTCGATAATTTGAACAAATGGCGCCTTCTAGCAGTGCACGTAGGAACTATTCCCGCTAGATGGCTATGAGATTGAAGAAAAAGAGCGCGAAAATTTGAATGCAGTTTTGTAATGAATAAATCACTCTTTCTAAAATGCTTTTATAACTTGAAATATTTCGTTTTAATAAACTTTAAACGACTATGAATGTTAATTAACTCAGCCTGTTCACCGCGAGATGGCGATCCATTTCGGTATTCATGAAACGCGCGAATAAATATCTATATGCGCCGTAGTTTGAATTTAGTTGTATTCTCGGAAATAATTTTCCTAGAAACATGAAAACAGAGCAATCGATCACACTTGCAAACGCGACCAGCCGAGTATTTATATCATTTAGCTATGACATGCCTAAACGGTAACCTCTAAACGTATCCTAACTATTGTAAAGTCGAGAAAACAACTTATGAACATGATATCGCATAAACGTTCGTAGATTATCCAAATATTTGCGTAAGTCGCGTTAATTGAATCGAGCCGTTCTCGACGAGGAACATTCGGTGTCCTCGAAGGAAAGCCACGAAGCTCGCCGTATTTCCCTTCAAGGACCTCGGTTTGGTTAGCGATACGCTTAGCGATATCGATTACTTTATAAAAAGATTCAAGGAGCGCCGTCGAAGAAACAATCGCACGAAACAGGCAATAACGTTCGTCTGCGTAGCATCAGGAAAAATACCAACGATTATATCGGTCTCGTTTGATCGATACTTCGAGTCGAGTCGAGTCGCAAGTCCAAGCAACGAGCGACCGTTTAAGCGTATTCTTATCGTAAAAATATGTTGAATCATTTCTCTGACGAAATGGCAAAGCTACTCGTAAAATCGAAGAAGATGAAAGCCCGATAGGCGACAAAGCGCCGCGCTCGTCGACTCTAACACCGATAAATTTATCATTCGCGGCTATTTACATCCAAATCGATAATCAATGCCTTAGGCACACCTCGTACCGAGAGTACATGCACGCACCCACACATTTCTCGGCCATCACGCCAGCGCGAACGCGATTGGGTACCTCTATGCACCTACGTACAGATTGTTACTCGTGAGATCAGGTTCGATGCGTAGTCGTGAGTATCGGTTAATTCTATACACGAGGGATGAAATAAAATTCACAAGAGAAAAAACAACATTTCCAAACTTGACATTCGTGAGATATCGTGACAGAAATTCGTGTCCTACGTAGGGACACCGGTGTCGTCAGACGGCCGGTCAGTGTCGTCATTCGAAGAATTATCATTCCGCTCGCGCTCGTTCCTCGACCTCACGAAACATCCCCTTGCCCTTCGACCGCCGCTTCCATTCGCCGCCCCTCCGCGACCCGAACGGTTTCCAAGTTTTTCCCGCCTTCTCTGCATGCAGCCAGCCATCAAACGTTGTCATACGGGTTGCTTTCTTCTAGACTCATTCGACGAAACCCAGAGAATTTCCCCGTGCCTCTTTTACCCCGTGTGGAAAATAGCAAGGGAAATCTCCATAATATTCGGGTCCCGAACTGGCTTTCATATGGAATCCATAATATGACTCTCCCGGATACATCCCTAAAAGGTCCCGACAAAGCAATTACAGGTTACCATTTTAAAATATAATCAGGGCTGGATAGGTGAATCATTGCAGGACCCGGTGGGGTTTAAACAAGGTACTCAATCATTTCCACAATAATTTTAAACAAGGACTTGATGGGTTAACCGCTATGGGAACCAGTGTGGTACAGTCAGAGTACGGAGAAACCGTGTTAAAATGAAATTTAATAGGGCCTTAACGAATTGTGAGGACCTGAAAACGTTTACCCAGGGTATTGATCATAGAAATCAATGACAATGTTTATGTTGGAAAATGAATAACATTCACACCTCTTGAGGGGCAGGGGCAGGGGTGGGGGTGGGGGGTATACCTCTTGAGAGGTCCAGTACATATCGAGTAAAAGTACCGATAAAAAGAAAAATATTCATCGTTTGCCTGAAAAAAATTATTAAAAATACACTCTCGTACCGCGCGCGCACTGTAGTATTTATAAATATAAATATTCCATGTCAAGTACGTTACGTAATAAATTGTTAAATAAACATTTATACTAATAATTGATTATATTTTCGTGAGTCATTATTCGTGAGTCATTATTCGTGAGTCATTATTCGTAAGACATTTTTTAGAATTCCTATTTTTTATTTAAATATTTCTGATTTACATGCAACGAGGGTGTGTCCAGGGCTATTGTAAGGCTGTTTCAGGGGCCCGATAGGGCTATAATCGAGAAGCCATCCTTCAATGGCCCCGTTTAAAAAAGCATGACAATCCCTTATGCCGCCTTACGGGAACCGAACGGGCTTCCTAAATAGGCCCCGAAATTAATTCGGGACAATTAACTCGGGCCTTTACGTAATCCCTAACAAAATTTCCACGCGGGAATTGAACGCTAACAATTGGATCGGAATGAACTCCTGGAAATTTACAGCGACGACATTTGTGTCGACAAAAATTACTTCGGTCAAATCTTATTTTTATTCGCTATTGCTATTGCAACGCAAACATTGGAATAGAAACGCCTTGAAAAGCCGAGAATTGCCGATCCTTGATTCAGACGGTTCGTTGACCATCCTCTCGCGCGGTGGTAATGTTTTCGTATCGCGATTGGAACAGACGAGCGGCAAATGATGCAATACCGCGCCGAAATCCCCGACTACCGTCTAGTCTGATCGCAGCGCGTTTAAATTGATCCGTATGGCGACCGAGGCGAGTTCGTAAACCCGAAGCGCGAGTAGTGTTGTAACCCCGAAACGACTAGGTATTCCACGTTCTGGAAATCGCCGGTCAAAGAGGTGCTCGTATCGTCGCACGTTCGAAGCTAGCTTATCCTCTCTTAGTTGTAAAACTACAGATAAATGGTACGTGGAGCGCACACGGCCGACTCTGAGATCGCGGTCAAGCAGGGTCACCGCTTCCGTGACGGCGTTCGTGGCGTCCGCAACCGCTGCGTGACCGTGTACACGTACACGCGCTGGACAGCCGGACGATAATAAGTGCGTGCACGCATGGGGTCGTTTGGTATTGCGATCACCCCCCGTTCTTCGGATCTTGGATTGCGTCGGTGTTTCATTGGTGCCGTGGAACGGAGTAAAGATTTCACGCGTGCATCGACTATCAACGTCTCGAGGAAATTGATAAGGTCCGTTTCCGTTTGAGCGCGGCACCCCGGTAGATTGGCAGTCGTCGCAAATCCGTTGCCCGATCGGGAAGAATCCGACCAGCGAATTCGCGTCGGTTTCATCCGTAATAAAATTATATACTTCAGCGATAACGCGATTAACTAGGTATCGATCGATTAGGAGCATCGCGTGTGTCCGACAGCATTGGTTTGTACGCGCAAAGCGTGTCTTCGGCATGAAAACTGGATCTTTCCATTTATGTTCCGATCGTTTTACGAATAGCACGAATCGAATTGTACGTCTCGTCTAATTCTCCGATGAAAACGACGTTAATCTCGACGTTAAATCCTCCTACGCGATACTTCCAGTGTTACACGACGCTCCGTTTCCCCTCGGCGTACTCTCGGCTATTCGTGTATTTTTTCGTGTGAGCGGAAACATGACGCGCGCTTCGACGAAATAAAGATTCGTCGACGTCAAGACGAGAAGATAATCGAAATTGAATTTCGCGTCCGAACGAAAAGTTTTCTTCTCCCTCGTTTCCCTTTCGAACCAGCGATAGCGACACGAGAGATGCTAAATTCTCATCTGGATACAAATTTCGAATATGTTTCGTACGGTACTCGATATCGATACGAATTTAATCGTAATCCATTTACGAATCCGTTGTCTCTGTATCGTGTCCAGCCCGAAGTCGTATAACTTTTACGGGTACCGTTCCTTCCATTATTCCAATCAACAATGGTACGAAGTCAGCCCGTTACCAGGGAAACACCTAGCGTAATAAAGGTGTCGGAAAGTCAACCAGGTAGCCGACGCACTCGGAGCCCAATGTTTCGTGAACTTTTACACGGGTGCAATAAATTTGGTATCGAATAACGAAAAAGGGTTTTTACCTGGGTCGAAAGTAAATGGAGACTTATGGTCGTGAAGGGATTAACCCATCCATGTAAGGGTCGTAGAAAGCGCTTGACCTATTCAACCAGCGAACGCTAGGCGCGGAGAGCGCGATTTTATTCGATGTCCCGGCCACGATTTCCACGGATGGTCGTTAACGGTTACCCGAAAGTTCGACAAGTTTCGGTATTCCCTGTCGATTTTTCATCGCGACTCGCCTCGTCCTCACTCGAGATTCTTTTCTCGGTGAACGGTCCAGGGCCGCCGCTCGAGAAGCGAACCTTCGAGCAAAACGACTTTCAGAGCCCGCAGTAATGTACTTTCACATTTGCAAGACCGAGGCATTGAATCGCTGGAAACTCGTTTCTTATTGCGAGGAAGGAAAAGGAGCGGGAGACGGACAGAAGGAGAACCGCCATCGGCGGGAATGATTTTCGCAACGATGCAACGAAGCTCCGTCGCGCGTGGCTTCTCGCGAAAATGATAGCCGCCACGACCGAGGTTCGTTTCAAGATCCGAACGGTACCTCGTCGACGCCGACGCTCCGTTCGGAAACGTCCACGAATCGACGATTCCTCGAATGCGTACATACAGCCATCGCCGTATTAAAATTGTTTTTCAAAGAATCATTAGACACTATCTTATCTTATTATATTAGGTTGTCCAGAAAGTTCGTGGCAATTTCTAAGAAAAATTCAAAGGCATATAATATGTATACATGTATTTGTTGAATTACATAGGACCTGTACCACCTACCAAAAATCGACATGGACTTTCCGGACAACCCAATAGTTAAACGATAATGCCGAGTTTCGACGTGAACCGTCATACGTTCCTGGCTGAACTTTAGAAGACGGCCGGTGAATACGAAGCCCACGGTACTCTGATATTTAGAGAGCGATCTGTATTCACGTTCTCGGACAGGACGGCAAGTGCGGTGACCCAGTGACACGTGGAAAATCTGGTCCGTTGCGTAGCGTGCATCGAGATGTAGTCGAATTCGACGGATCGAGAGTTGCCCGCTGGCGGGCTAATATCGACGATGACGGCTGCCGCAGAGGCATGCAGCTTTGCTTTTGGCAAGGAAAAAAACCGCGTGGCCGTGGGGCGCCACGAGTGAAGCATAAATAGCGACGATTTTAATTTCCATCGCACCTGCCAGCCCGTGCTCCCAGCTCAACTACGGATTCGTTTGCTCGACTTTCCAATCCACGGCTACCGCCTTCGGTGCGGAGCTTCTCCCCGATCGAATTACTCCTGGTCTCCGTCGCGTGTCGCGATATGAAAAGGAGAACGAACGACGTATTCCACGTCGAGGAAATCGAAAAAGGCGAGATTCGTGTTTCTAGTCGCCGCGATCGTCGCCGTGGACGCGTTTCTTCGCGCGATCGAGCAGCGCGACGACCGCCCTGATTTTCTGCGAGACCTCGAGGACGTAGCTCGCAAAAGGAGAACGGACATGGACGAAATTCAAACGATATCTACGATCGCTTACAGCAAATTAATCGACAATGAATCGACGCCCGATCGGTATAGATGCCGCGGCGTCGTCTGCAATTGGCAAGGCTAACAGGACACGCGAAATTAACGCGTAATTATATACGCGTATATTAACATAAGAAATAAAACATCACTGCCGATACATGTCACGCGTGCAACAGGTGAATCTCGATGAAATACTTAATCGGAGATTGTGATAAACGAAGACGCTCCACGGTGATTTCACGCTGCACTTCCGACGGAAAATAACATCGAACGGCATAAATAGTATTCTCTGTCGTACCAAACTTCTATTTTCTCGCGAAACTAGCAACGAATGCGTAAACATACAAAGGAATAAACTGCTGCAACGCCAGAGAACGATAAAAGGTAGACCGTTGTAGGAAAGCAAACTCGGAGATAAAGTATAACTGTCGGTAAAGTAAAACGAAACAGTCACGCTGACATGGGAAACGCAGTTAACGAACAAAGCAACGAGCGCCGTTAAGTGTATAAATAATAATACCGAAATAACGGACAGAATTCTGTTTATTGCGTTTTCAGGCCCTCGGGACAAGGAGCGCGTGAATTTTCGTACGAAAAACGGCTGCCCGCAGGCTTCTGGGACCCTCTCTCCCTCGTTCCTTATCGCTCTCTCTCCCTCTCTCACTCCTCTGTCTTTCTTTGTCCATTTTCGAAAGGCACTTCCCGTGAAACCGTTGAGGGATTTTAAGTAGGGTGCGGAGCGAGGGTTTGGGTGGGGCGTACCGACGGTTTTGGCTCTCTTTATTGCACCCTCGTCTGGGTCGGTACCGTGGACCCAATTCGCTCCAAGACCTCGACGTCGTTATTGCGTCTACGTAACGTATTGTCGACGGGGGATTTTCTGATTTGAATTATAAAATCGAGAGACAACCGACAACTAGATGTCCTTTAATGGTCGGTGACGTCATGCCAAAGACGCGATTAGAACGAGCTTCCCGTTCCAGCGGGTTCATTATTCTTATTGTTATTAACGGACGCGCGAACCCTCTTCGGTGTATCGACGATACACGATGCGGCCAAGGCTGCGAAATCGAAACTTATCCGATAAATGCGAAACGGATTATTGTTACGTTCCTTAAACTTTTCATATCGCATCGTTTGATAGTTTTGGGAAACAAGTTCACCCTGAATCATGGTAGAGAATACTCCAAGAAAAACGGGTAAAGAATGACATATCGCAAAAAATCTTGATAACGGGACCACCGGGGAGACATGCACTATAAGATGCAACAGGTTTCATTACGATTGGTCAAACCATCTCGGAATAATCGGTGAACATACCTTAAGTAAAAAAAAAAGAAAAAAAAAAAGAAAATGCATGTCGAATTGAGTAACCTCCTTTTCGAAGTCGGTTAAAAAATGATTTCCGATAACGCTAAACGATAGCGGAGAATTTTGATGCCTCGATCGAGTGTCGGCAATCTGCGATGTCATAGTGTAATTTCTGCATATCCCACTCTTTGACGTAAACAGCTTTGATTCGGAAGGGAGAAAGCTTCCATTTGTAAGAGAAGCCACGATCAAATTAAATTCATTCTTCTCCCGATTCTCGTTTAGTTGGACGTTTCTCGCAGTGTACCGACGGAAACTTTTCACCGATATTAATAATTATCCTTCGGGACGAGCATCGAAGCAATCGCACGGCATTTCTCGCGTTAATGCGAGAAAAAGCACGGCTGTATCTTTAGACGGCGACTGACGCAGAAAGATCCGGTTTCACTTGGCTCGGACGCAAACAGACTATATTCTAATCGAGAGGCCGAAATTTCTCGCCATGTTATCGCCTACTTTCGCAAAGACCGCTCTAAAACGAGAGCTGGTAAGCCGTCGTTCGATCGATCGATCGATTAAACCGATCGCGTGATCTCCCCATAGAATCACGTGTTTTCCAGCAAACAAGCGCAACTCCCGGATATGAACGGATCGGGAATATGCGATGTCGCCCGGCTATTTTTATAATTTACAAAAAGACTGCCCGCCACTGTTATTAATACCCCATCACTCCAAGGAAGTAGTCGTAAAGATATCGCCCTCCTCTCTCTCTCTCTCTCTCTCTCTCTCTCTCTCTCTCTCTCTCTCTC